ACACACACACACACACACACACACACACACACACACACACACACACACACACACACACACACACACACACGCACACGCACACGCACACGCACACGCTTACAGCGGACCATGTGCTCCGAACGGCCGGTGAAACAAGTGTCAGCGGTGTGCCTCCACCGAGGGAAGATACTCAACACCTCAGTGCTGGTGGCAATGCTCGGGCTGCTGAGGTGACCGAGATATTATCACCAGCACCCAAGTCTGGGGTCATCTTCCTCCCAGTCGGGGCAACCCTCTGTGTTGGTGTTGGTGCCAAGTTCCAGGCCTGCAAGACTGGGGTGTGAGGAGTGACTAGAGGAACGAAGCACTGCACAAACATATATTCTCGGAGGTCCGCGCGGATTTCTTGGGTCTGCCGAACGGAATGCGTGAGAGGGGTCCAGCGCTGAACCCAGAAATCCGCACGGACTTCCAAAAATCTGGGTTCGTGTAGCTTTTCGCAATTCAAATAAAAGTGTCAAGTGTCCAAGGTTCCCGGAGCAACTCCGGATGCGTCTGGGCTTGAACCAGAATCGCTTAGGGCGCCGTTGGAGGATGGAGGAGACACGGGTAGAGAGCGAGGATGAAGCAGGACAAATAAAGGAACATGGCGCATGGTGGAGAAGTCTCATCAGCCCCCTGGGCGAAGATGGTATCACGAGTCCCATGCTCCTACTTCCAAAACAAGCGTTTCTACCATAGTTCGGGGAGGGGTGTCGCCCAATTAGTTTCCCCTTCCTCCTTCTCCTCCTCCTCCTCCTCCTTCTCCTCCTCCTCCTCGTCTTCCTCCTCCTCCTCCTCCTCCTCCTCCTCCTCCTCCTCCTCCTCCTCGGTTTCCTCATCCTCCTCCTGTCTTCCTCCTCCTCCTCCTCCTCCGCAGCAGCAGCAGCAGCAGCTTCCTCGTCAGCCTCCTCCTCCTCCTCCTCCTCACTCCTCCTCCTCCTCCTCCTCCTCCTCCTCCTCCTCCCTCCTCCTCCTCCTCCTCCTCCTCCTCCTCCTCCTCACTTCTCCTCCTCACTTCTCCTCCTCCTCCTCCTCCTCCTCCTCCTCCTCCTCCTCCTCCTCCTCCTCCTCCTCCTCCCTCCTCCTCCTCCTCCTCCTCCTCCTCCTCCTCCTCCTCCTCCTCCTCCTCCTCCCTCCTCCTGTTCATCCTCCTCGTCCTACTCCTCCTCCTCTTCCTCCTCCTCCTTCTCCTCCTCCTCCTCCTCCCAAGCCCCTCCTGCTCAGGTCTGAGGCTTGCGGGGCTGCCTGCTCCGATGACTTGGAGGTCTGAGTCTGACCCCTCGCCTGCAGCCCTCTCCCACCCACCTCGGGGCTCACCTCCTGCATGCTGTACCCTACATTTACCTCTCCGCCTCCCCCCCCCCGCCCCGCGGATGCTGGATGCAGCTGCCGAGCGTCTCGCGGGCGGCGGCCGTCCTCGCCCCCCCTGGACTCGCACTCTCTCGAACTCGTCGGCGACGGTGGCTTCAACGACGTGCCTATCTTCGCCTGCGTGCGCGCCTTCCCGAAGCCGAGATTCGTCGTGAGCAGTTTCCCGATGAGCTTCGACGCGAGCCACCTGTGCCTCGGTGTCAGCATCTACCTGAGGATGGTGATAATCTTCCTGATGCCCCTCGGGAGCCCAGTCGTGTGCGCCTTTCTGGCGATGGTGAGCTTCGTGGGCATTGTCACGGGCAGCTACCTGATGATGGTGCGATTCATGAGCGCGGACGGGAGTCCCTGCCTGCTGCTATTCCTGAGGAGGCGGCGCATCATCGAAGCGCGGTTCTTCCTGAAGCCGAGTCGCGTCGTGAGCAGCCTCCTGATGATGAACTTCGTTGCGAGCCTCGTGCACCTCGTGAGCTCTGTCGTGCGCGCCTTCAGGGTGATGTTGAGCTTCGCAGGTCTTGTCGAGAGCACCTTCCTGATGACGGGGCGCCCCAAGAGCGAGGCCGCGAGCATCGACCTGAGGAAGATGGGCATCGCCGTGGGTTTCTCCCTGCTGCTGAACTTCGACGAGAGCCGTTTCCTGAAGGTGGACCTCGTCCGTGGCCTCAAGTGCCTCGCCGTGGGCATCTACCTGGGGATGTTGATCGTCTTCCCGCTGCCCCACGCGAGCTCGGTCGGGTGTCCCTGCCTGGCGATGCTGAGCTCCGTGGGCCTTGTCGCAAGCAGCTACCTCAAGCGCCACGTCGTGTGCCGAAGCTCGACGAAGAGGAGAGGGCGTCAATGACCGCGTTCTGGCACTGGTGTTTGCCGGTTCGGAGCTTGGACTTCTACGTGGAGCAACGTCGTGGGACGTGCTGCCTTGGGCCCTCCTGGTCTGCCGGTGGATCGCGGAGAAGATGGGCGGCTGATGGTCTGGGACCCGCAGTATGCCTATCAGAGTTGGGCCTCTCAGCGGTATCGATTGCGAGGAGGGCGCCGTCTACTTCAGGAGATCCTCGAAGAATGGGCTGTTGAGGTGACCATGGCTAGGCAGCGAATGGTCCCGTGATTGCTTGCCGTCCTCCTCCTTCTCCTCCTTGCACTGTATGTCCTATTGATTTCGAATATTTCGAGATTTGGGGAGTGGCCGCCTGGTGTCGGGCTGTCCCTCCTCTTCGCGTCTCTGGACCCCGCCCCCCGCTCGCCTTCCTCCCTTGCCTGCCTTGGGGCCCCTTGTGGGGCCGTCTTCCCCTTCTTCTCTGCTTGTCCGCGGCCTCCCTCCTCGGGATCCTGAGGCGACGGGGGTCTAGCGTTTCCGTTTCCCCAGTTTTAGCCCCGACCCTACGGCCGTGTCCCGCCTTTAAAGCATTGGGGCATCCAGCCGAGGTAGTGGGTGTGTGGGAGCGAGAGTGCATCTAATGCCACGCGTGACGGGAGTTCTTCTTGTCACAGCGCCCTCTAGAAGCGAGTTGGCCACAAATCAATAAGATTGTATTGGTTCAGTCTCCGCGTAGCACGCGGGAACGCTGACACGACTCTGCAGAGTCGCTCGTTCGTTCGTTCTCCTCCTCCTCCAACTCCACCCCCTCCTCCTCTTCCTCCTCCTCCCCTTTTTCTCGTCCTCCTCCTCCTCCTCCTACTCCTCCTCGCCCTCCTCCTCCTGCTCCCGTCCTCCTCCTCCTCCTCCTCCTCTTCCTCCTCCTCCTCTCCTCCTCCTCCTCCTCGTCCTCCTCCCCTCCTCTTCTCCTCCTCCTCCTCCTCTTCCTCCTCCTCCAACTCCTCCCCCTCCTCCTCCTCCTCCTCCTCCTCCTCCTCCTCCTCCTCCTCCTCCCTCCTCCTCCTCCTCCTCCTCCTCCTCCTCCGCCTCCTCCTCCCTCTCCTCCTCCTCCTCCTCCTCCTCCAACTCCTCCTACTCCTGCTCCTCCCTTTCCTCCCTCCTCCTCCTCCTCCTCCTCCTCGTCCTCTTCCTCCTCCTCCTCCTCCTCCTCCTCCTCCTCCTCCTCCTCCTCCTCCCGTCCTCCGTCCTGCTCCTCCTCCTCGTTCTCCTCTCTCCTCCTCCTCCTCCTCCTCCTCCTCCTCCTCCTGCTCCTCCTCCTCCTCCTCCTCCTCCTCCTCCCCTCCTCCTCCTCCTCCTCCTCCTCCTCCCCTCCTCCTCCTCCTCCTCCTCCTCCTCCTCCTCCTCCTCCTCCTCCTCCTCCTCTCCTCTCCTCCTCCTCCTCCTCCTCCCTCCTCCCCCCTCCTCCTCCTTTTCCCGTCCTCCTCCCCCGTCTTCTTCTCCTCCTCCTCCTCCTCCTTTCCCCGTCCTCCTCCCGTCTTCCTCCCCTCCTCCTCCTCCTCCTCCTCCTCCTCCTCCTCCTCCTCCTCCTCCTCCCCCTCCTCCCCCTCCTCTTATTATTATGTATAATTTTATTCGTCGTGTGTCTCTTAGTAGTAGCCTGAGTATTCTTAGTATTATTATTCGTCTTAGTATACTGCTTCTCGCCGGATTAGTAATATTAATACTATCACTATTATTAGCCTTGCTCTTCTTCTTATTATTATGAGTCGTCTTCTTCTTCGTCTAAGTATTATGTTTATTCTTCTTATTCGTAGTATGATTCGTCTTCTTATTCGTATTAGTAGTATCAGTATTCGCATTGTTATTATTATTCGTATTTGTTTGTATTATTAGTAATACCATCATTAATATCATTAGTAGCAGTAATAATATGTTTCGTCTTCCTCCTCCTCGTCCTCCATGGACGAGGAGGAGGCCTTGCACGTCGCCAGCACGCGCGCGCAACAGCCAGGCGCCCGTCGGAAAAAAGGTAGGAAGGAGACGAGCAAGCCAACCTGCTGCCCAGATGGCGGCCTCAAGCTCTGCAGCACCTGAGAGGAGAGCTGGCGGATATGCATCACTGGCTGCCTCCAGTCGGCGACCTTGGAAGCCCGCGATGTCCTCGACACGAAGCGCTGACTGTGATTGCCCGCGCTGGCGGGCATTCGTTGCCGCCCCGATCCTCGCATCCTTCCCCGGCGCCACCCGTCCAAATCTCGAGCGTAGGCGGGAGGCCCGGGTCGGGGCCGAGGCCAGACAGGCCGGCGACTGTAGCGGAGTTCCTGAAGCTAGTATAAGGTGAAATGTTGACACAGAGCGGGGTCTCCAATTGATCCAGGAGAACATCCTTGGTGAACCCCATGGGGGGAGAGGACTGCCGATGAGGCCGCGGACGGGGCCGTCCCCGCCAGGCTGTGGGACAGGGGCGGGAGGTACTTCGACGTCGCTTTGAATTCATGTGGACAGTGCAACTGAGTCACGTCGGCCATTCGTCAATGGCCGGTGTCGCCGTCCCCGTCAACACCCCTGGCATCGCGAGGGCTAGGAGCTCCTGGCGCTAGAGTAGGGCCGACTTTGCCATCTTCTCCGTCAGCTTCTCCGTCTGATCCTGGAACGGGTTCTGCGATCCCGTTCGCAGTCCTGGTCGTGTCGAGGGCTGCCTTCAAGATGCCCGTCGTGCCAGCCGCTGATGTAGCTCGCCTGGCTCTGCCCGACCTGGCCGCTGGCCTGGGTCCTGTCGCTGGCTCGGTCTTCTTCTGCTTGCTTTTGGCGGGCTCCTCGGCGGCGCCTGCCGTGCTAGTGGCTGCGTCGGCCGGCACTAGTGGCCATGGTATTGGCTGCTGGGTTGCGGCTGCAGGAACTGCTGCGACTGGAACTGAGGCTGAGAGAGGGATCATGGTTGCCTCCACTGGCTTTGGCGCCTTCACGGCTGCCGCTGCTGCTGCCGTTGCTGTCGATGCTGCGCTGGGTACGATGACCGCGAGCTGCTTCTGAATGCTGGACATGGCGCCTGCTAGAGATGCGATGTCAGCTGCCAGTTGTGCGCTCTTGACCTGCAAAGCACCGACGGCGGCTTTGGGGTTGCCCTCGGCTAGAGCTGCCGCTGGCGATGATGCAGGATCGGGTCATAATTTGCCTTCAGCTGGGGTTTCTGCCAGACCTGGGCGAAAGGTGGCACCTCCGTCCGTTGGTGCGAGCGCCCCCGTCCCTGGTCGTTCTCCTCCGCTGCCCCCTCTGCCTCCTCGAGCTCCTCGAAGTGCTGCACGAGTGTCTTCTTTAAAGAATAAAAATAGTGTGTTTTCTTTCTTTTTAATACTAAAAAATAAAAATACATAAAAAAAAAAAAAAAAAAAAAAAAAAAAAAAAAAAAAAAAAAAAAAAAAAAAAAAAAAAAAAAAAAAAAAAAAAAAAAAAAAAAATGTGGA